ACACTTCTGACCATGGAGCTGCGCGAAGGCGAAGTCAAAATTCACATAAAGACAAAATGGTTATATTGTAAGTGGAATTATACAGTTCACAGTACATAGCGTTTCGCATGGAAGTGGGGACTAAACCAAATTTCGTCTACTGCGCGGTGGTCAGGAGTATGTGCACTATCTCTATAATTAAGTGATGTATGTTGTTCCTATTCTTGCGTACCAGTTTTTGGCAGCTCAGCAAAACTGTAGTAGAATTGTGGATCGCTTTAGTGAGGGGTGCCTTTCAATTCAGATTTTTGCCTTAGAGTTTCAGTGCACAAAATTTGCTGTGCTAAAAAGATTATAGTTAAAAGGACTGTAGTTCCTTAGTATCTTAAATTTCAATGCCGTTTATTTTGACAAATACCGTACAAGGTAATAATGGTTTAAATGCCTCATTTGTAACAATTTCATAAAAGTTTGAATGCATTTGATTTTTTTTGAGCAGTGTTTTATTAAAATGTATTAAATTTTGGTAAAATATCATCTGTCCGTTGTTTCTTTGCACATGTATCGTCATTAGATGTATAGGAATGGACCACAGGAGTGATGACGTAGATTTTATTGACATCTGTCAGTTTCACTTTCCAAACAAACCTTGTTTAGTGTGGATAATTCGTGTTTTTAGTTATTTTTTCATTTATATTATAGAATCTTTCCGCTTTTTGCATTATTTAAGTATTCTAATAGTTACTACAACAATTTTACAAGGTTGTGTAAATAATAAAGTACATTGTTTTATGCTAATAGCTATAAAATGCATGTATCAATAAAGTAAGGTTAGTATTTCTTTAATTTAAACTTTTAAACTATATTTCATAGAAATAAACTCAGAATTATCGTAAAAAATACTATGCTTACAAGGAAAAGCAGCAGAGGAAGCAAAATGTTAACTTTATAGATATTAAAAAGTCTTGAGTTTTGACATTTCAACTTTTGTTTGGAAAGTAATAATGACAATGTGACAGTCGTGACGTCACACTCCTGTGGTCCATTACATAAACACCTGGAACTCAAACCTTTGTTTGTGACAGCCAAAACTGTAAATTTCCAGTATCGATCGCTGCCCTTCGTCATATTGTCGTTTTGCAATAGCCGGTGCAAAGAATCAGCGGACGGAATTCTAGCTCAGAGAAATAAGCAAAAACAGTTGACGGCTATGATGGGGTTTTTTTTAGATAATCACAATTTTAGGTCGGAAAAAGTCACGAGTTTGGTTTATTGGCTTACCGGTAAAAAAATCTAATAAATCACCAAAGTACTTATCAGAAATTAATTTTTTTCGTTACTCATTCCATTATGGTATAGAATATCCAATAAACTTATTTAGAAAACATGTAGGCAATGATATTCTGTATAATTGGAAAAGATGTAGAATTTTACAGGGTGATTAATAACTATGTGGTGTAGCAACAAACAGTTTTTTTTAATGTAACACCCTATATATTTTTTCTTATTTATATTCCTCTCGTAAACCTTGTTCTTATAATATTGGGCTTTGCATTACTATTATACAGAGTATTTAAAAAGTTATGATCATTTTTATTTCGAAATCCCTTTCTTCATCATTTCATCATTTCTTCATCATTTCATCATTTCTTCATCATTTCAGATCATTTTTCTTCTTCTAATGGCGCTACAACTCTTTGTGAGTCTTGGCCTGCTTAACAGTGGCTCACCTAGAATTTTCCTCGAGGGGGGGTTGGTTGGGCGCCGAAATTTTTTTATACTACCTCCACCATTTTAAGTCCTTAAAATTTGTGAGTAACAGTGACGGAATAGTGCTCTGAGGTGTTTTAATCCTCCTGGGTGCGCCACTGCTGCTTAACAATGTTATTCCATTCTACCCTGTCGGATACTTTCCTTCGCCACTGCCTGATGTTAATGGTTTTAAGATCCCTTTCTACGTCGTCTATCCATCTTTTACGAGGCCTTCCTCTTGTTTTGTTTCCTTGGGGCTTCCATCTCTTGAACTACTTTTACAGCTCAATTATCTGGCATTCTTTCTAGGTGACCAGTTTAGTCTTTGTGACTTTACAAATCTAACAATATCTGCGCTCTGCATTAGTTCATTCAGCTCGTGGTTCATTTAATTCTCCACGAACCATCGCTGCATTGGGTTGGTCCAAATATCTTCCTTAGTATTTTGAGGTCAAATATTCTCAGTTGATTTTCATCAGTGGTTGAGAAAGTCCATGTTTCACATCCATATGTGACCACTGGTCTAATTACTGTTTTGCAGATTCTATGCTTAGACCCAAAATTCAGTAACTTACTTTTCATTAAGTCTTTGTATGCATAAAAGCACTTATTACCGTTAAGAATCCGTGCTTATATTTATTGACTGATGTCATTTATTATTGAGCCTAGGTAGGGAAAATTGGAGAGGAATATTTAGAAGGTTGTCTACCTTCAGATTCTCATGTTGATTCGATATTCGATTTTGTGCAATCCATATATTTTATTTTGCTTTCATTTGTATATAGACCAAACATAGCAACTTCTCGTTTCAGTTCTATATGCGCATATTTGCATTGATCTTGTATTAATACATCCATTTATATTAAGTTTTCTAACAACAGCTTCTAAGGTTAGATTAAAAAGTGTTGTTGATGAGGCATCACCTTGTCTAACTCCATTTTCAATATCAAAGGCCTGCGTCATATCCCCATATATTCTCACCATAGCTTTGGAACCCTCCAGAGTCATTCATTTAACCAACTTATTTGGTATCTCTAACATAGATTGTTGCTTTAACATTTTTTGTCGATCTACTCCATCAAACGCCTGTTTAAAATTGATATCAAAGTTGTAAATAGGTATGTTATATTTAACACATTTTTGATGTATACCTCTTAACATATGTATTTGATCTATATATAGTTGACCTCTTTGGTCTGAAGCCACATTGGTATTCACCAATCATCTCCACCGAAAACTATTCCAGGCGGCTGTATATAATCCCTGATAATATCTTGTAGATATTTAAAACTGTTATGCCCTATAATTTTTGCTCGTTCCAGCTTTTCATTATTTCCTCTTTCTCGCTGACAATTGCCTCATTTTGTCCTTGCAAACTGTTGATCTTGTCATGTATCCTTGGTGTATTGCTTGGTTTCCTTGTAAAATTTTGTAGGCTCTCTTCTGTTATTATAATCTGTAATTTGTTGTATTTTTCTATTCAACATTTCTCTCTTTTTCCTTCTACATATTTTCTTTGCATTAATACTGAGTTCTTCATATGCACTTCTATTCAATTAGGAATCCTTTTGTAGACATTTCTGTCTAGCTATATTTTTGCTATTTACTAGTTGGCAATCTTGGTCAAACCATTCCTTGGTTCTTTTGCTTGAGGTTTCACCTAACGTTTCCTTTGCCATATTTGTAATTGCCGTTTGGATGACATTCCATTCTTCTTCAATGTTGTTTTGTTCTCCTCTTTCATTTAATATTACTTTTATTTTCTGCTGGCACTCATTCTTCTTTTTATCATTTTTAAACATATGTGTTCTATTTTCTTTGTTTGGCGCCTTTCTCTTTTCTTACCGTTGATATTCTTTGTTTTATCTTCGATATAACCAAGAAATGGTCCGAATCGCAATTTGCGCCTCTATAAGTTCTAACATCCGTTACGAAGATTGCCCACCGCTTAGATATTAATGTGATCAATTTGATTAAATTTATTAGTACCAGGTATCATCCAGGTTCCTTTATGAATATTTTTATGAGGGAAACACATACTAGCAACTCTTAGTTTGTTGGCCATTGCCAACTCTGCCACTCTTATACCGTTGTTGCTGGTAATATCATGTAAACTATGCTTACCAAATCACCCAGGACTATAACTGCATCTCTCTTCTGTGCGTTTTCACATTCTACTTGTAGTTGGTCATAGAATTGATTTATATAGCAGAAGCAGCAGATGAATAGTTCATCTGCTGCTTCTGTTGGGGCATGGATATTAATAATTGTAATATGAAATTTTCCCCTTGACATATTTTGCATATTCTTTCATTAACTGGAGTGAAACCCAATACTGACCTTCGTCATTTATGGTTTACCGTAAATCCCACTCCAAAGTCTCTTTGTCTTTCTGCTCCACAGTAGTACATACTGTATTCTTTTTTATCTATGCAACCATGCCCTTTAAATCTGATTTCTTGGTGGGCTGCTATGTCTACTTCATCCTTCCTGTGCAATGTCCTGTCTACTCTAATAGTTCCTGTGTAATACTTTACATTTTGCCTGCCTGCAGCATGGTTTGAACATTCCAGGTTCCCAGTCGCAAATCTATCATTAAGTCCTTATTACGTAGCTTTGGTCGTTGTCCGTCCGGTAAGTTCATTGTTCGTAGCATTCGGGATAGCTGAATTTAAGGTGAACAGGTTATCGGCTTATTGTACCCGAGTCCAGTGCCAGGGCTGCTGGTTATAGCTTCTGAACAAGCTATGCTTTCTCCCTTCCTCGTCCGCCTTGACCACACCTTCCATTCGGGTTGTTTACTCAATCTCCAAGAGGGTTGCTCAGGTTTACCGGGGTTCACTGGTGTGATCAAGATCACACTTCTTGGAAGTGAGGACAGGAATTGAGTAGGAGAGGCTAGAGGAAGCAACACCTTGTATTGCGCCTCACTACTTCGTTGAACCCACTTTAATTGAAATCATTGACTAAAATTTGTATAAAGAGTGAACTACAAAACCAAATTACGATTTTCTCAATATTTTTAAACATATCACCCTGTATTTTATTTTTTAGAAATTTGACGAAAAAATTGGGCTTGAATTTTTTTAAGCGCTTTATTTTGTGCCCCATTTTTGATCTGTCACTGTTAATAACTAAAAACACCCCACGTAATTCACTGTTTTGAGTATAATGCGATTCCAGTACAAAAGGTTTTTGTTCTAAAGATCAATTACTTATTTCTCTGAGCTTTTTTAATCACAGTATTTAATATGAATTTTTCCCATTAGGCAATAATCCTCGTCAATACAATAACCAACGGTACAACGAGCGTCAATCGTACCAAGCCCCACAAGCCAACATGTACCACACGATACCTGCTCAGTACATGGTGCAGTCTCAGCCCGCCGACGGCATGCAGTCCATCATGAACCACAAATTCTTCCAGAGTCGAGGATTGCCCGGCGCTACCAACCCTTGCGCATACCAGTCGATGGGCCAGGGCCAGCCCACTCCCGCCTACAATCAATTCCCAGCTGGGGTGCCTTACTACCAGTACACGCAACCCCCCACTGCCGCCGTACAGCAGTAAATGCCACCTCTAATCAGTTCGTTTTCTTTTTTGTTGTTTAAATTTTTATAACTTACTATTGATTCATATTGGCTAGTGTGAGGAGAGATCTGATAGTCACAAACGTGAATAAATTTTTTGACGCTAATTAATTTGAGAATAGTAGATAATGACAAACATTTTGCATTAAATGGCTTTAAAGTGCAGTTCTATGTTGATACAACAACGAATTTATGTAAATATAAATTTATGCATGTTTGGAGTACGAACTGTCCTAATACAATCATGTCGAAACACTCCAATATTTCACTTGCAATATATCAATGTTCAATAAACTATAATCTGTGTTGGAAGTCTATACAAATCGTATCTATATATTTTCACATTTTCCACGATTTAACTAGAACTTACCACACTACAAAAGTTTCATCATATCTTCATCCATTTATGACTAATTATAAGAGTGTAACTTTTAAACTAAATATATAAGAACATCAACCAATAAAACTCACTTCAGTTACATGAGTTTTGATTCTGATTGAATATCATCGATTTCGACATGGTTGTATTTCAAATTTTTCAGTGTTCTAGTTCTATTGTTCCCTCGAAACCCTCGAAGAGGCTCTCCGTCTAGCTGTTTGTTTGCTGCTACGGTAACGACATTATGCCTTCTCCCCGCTGATGTTGGCCGTTCAGCTGTCGGTGTTATATCATTAAGGATTGGAATTCACCAATATCAGACCAATAACTGCTTCGAGTATCATATAGATTTATTTTTATTTATTAAATTCCGTACAATATTACTAAAACACTGATTTGTATACTAAAAGTTTGTTTTTTCTCCTTGTACAGTTCGACAAGTGAAAACTGGCTACTTAGTAAAGTTTTTATAGAAAATATATGGTAAATGACATACATTTTTCGAGCAATGTCTGTGTTATAGAGATTACTGATCTACCATAAGAAAACAGTAATTAGAAGAATTGTTAGTTGTGGTGTATTTAACTCTCTAAATCTCAAAAAGCTTCATAAAATCAGTACTTAAAACATTGTCACTCAAATCAGTTATAATTGAATAAAAAAATTGCATCCATCTCAAATCATACAATCTTCACTTAAAAATTACTTCCAATAATACATTTTTTGCAAGCTAATTTTGCCGACAAAAAAGGTATTGGTTACTCTTGTGACCATATTTTGAAGTTGACATATCTTGTTCCAAAAATTGCTAAATTTTCAATTGGATTTAGATCTGGTTGACGAGGTGCAATTTTTCGTTGTTTAATCATTGCGTGAGTTAAAATCATCTTCAACAGAATTAGTATCTTCTGCGTTATTTGTTTTGGCAAAAAACCATCTTCAATTGGAAAGAACTGTGACATTCTTAAATCTGAAGCTGACATATTTTAGCTCAAAAATTGTCCAATTTTTATTTGTATATTGATCTGGTTGACGAGGTGCAAGTATTCGTTGTTAAATAATTGCTTGGGTTAAAATCATCTTCAACATAGTCAGTATCTTCTGCGTTATCTCCTAAATCGTAGCCCGAATCACAAACATCTTCAGCAGAATCAGTATTTTCTGCGCCATCTTGGTCAATTAATTTTATTCAAACTGGTATCAAATTATTTGTTTTGGCAAAAAACTGTCTTCAATTGGAAAGGACTTAGGGCAAATACTTTTGTCCATTCTTGCATGGCTCAAATTGATAAAAAAACTCATCAGATAGAGCTGTGGCATTCATTTTTCAATTGAATTTAGATCTGGGAGATGAGGTGGAAGTTTTTAAAAAAATATAGTTTTTTTTTACCAAAATCCATCTTCAATTGGGCTGTACTGTGGCAAATACTTTTGTCTATTTTTGCACAGCTCAAATTGATGAAAAAAGTTATCAGATAAAGCTGTGGCATCAATTTTTTTTTGACAAAAAAACATCTTTAACTGGAAAGGACTTTAGCAAATACTTTTGTCTATTTTTGCACAGTTCAAGTTGATCAAAAAAGTCATCAGATAATGCTGCGACATCATTGAATCTGACATATTTTACTCAAATTGTCCAATTTTCAATCGGAATTAGATCTGGGTGACAAGGTGGAAGTCCTCTCACGGTAAAAATTTACAACTGGCAATAATTTCTCAAGTGCTGGAACTCGCTTGTTAGTTTTTAATAATAAATAATACAAATCAATAATTAAAATAAAAAATATTGATTAGCCAGTCAATCTTACATTTATACGACGAAAAGATGATAAAAATACTCTTTTATGTTTTATTCGAATATGTAAAAGTTGCTAAATGCAAAATGGCGATAAACGCACCAGTTTATGACACCACTACCAGTGGCGTAACAAAAAGATATTAATTTACATTCAGTGATTGATTTTCAAAGTTTATATTTTTATGTATATAGTGAATAATAGTTAGTTTACAATATGTAGGTCTGGTATCGATGAAATCCACAAAATTAGTATTTACTCAGTGTGAGTTGTTAGCTATTAGTAAACAGTAATGGTCTGTATGCTGTTGAAATGCACGAAACATATAGAAGGGGAGTTTTGGGCTTATTTCGTTATAGTATTTTATACATAATGATGCTGTTTGAATGTATCATATACCGAACTAGTTGATATAAAGAAAATACTTAAAAAATTTAAGAGTTAAATAGTTGAAAAGCAGTCAAAACTTTATATTTCTGTATTAAATAAGATTTGTGATATTACTTATTCCTAGGGACAGTACAATTCCACTAGTTACTATAATTCCGGGAATAGTAGAATCGAAAAGAAGAAAAGAGATGTGTTTAGTTTTACACGTTCGCTACAGGGTATAAGAAGATTTATGTTTTACGTTACGTTTACGCTGTGATCATTAGCCGAATAAATACGTTCGAAGCGACGAAGATTCATTTCTATGTAATCATTTCTGCCAATATAGAAGATACGTCACAATCAACGGAAATAAACACACTGAGCAACAGAAGAATATTAAAAAATCCTTAGAAATGCATAGATTTGTTACAGAACACCAATATTGTTCATTATGTGATAGGTTTTGGTAATTTTTTCATTACTCTACACAAAATTCACTACATCACAGTTCTAGATAATTTTTTCAAGCAACAGTTTCAGGCATTTTTCATTGGCACAGTTCTAAATCATTTTTTCATTACGGTACAGTTATAGTGTATTTTTTCCTCGAGTTTTAATTACGCTACAATTGTAGGGATTTATTCATTACGTTATTTTCGCAAAATCTTTTGTTATTACGCTAGTGCTCAGGATTATTTTCTTACCTACATGATTGATTATTGTTTTCTTCATCCTACAGAAAGTTTTTCGTTAATGAACAATGTAAGATTTTTTCCATTACGCTACACGTTAAAGAATTTTCCATTACGCTATTATTATAGGGATTTTTTATTACGTTGTTGTAAATGAACAATTTTTATTACGGTAGGGTTTTACGAAGTTTCTTGTATAAACCTGCAGTTTCAGACAATTTTGTCATTAGATGTGCGGTTTTTTCCCAAGTTTTAGTTTCGATACAGTTGTAGCTGATTTTTTTTTGCTTTACTGTGTTACAGCATTTGTTTTCCACTCTACACAGTTTTGAAGATTGTTTTATTTTTCATGCTAGTCAATTTTTTATCAAGCAATAATTTTACTATTTTTTTTCATTCATTTACGTTTTTTGGGGTAACTTTTTCATTGTGTTATAATTCCGGGGAACTTTTCCATTACATTATAGTTTTGTGTTTTCTTTAGCTACAGAAAATTTGGAGTTTTAAGAATTTTTGTCATTACGTTACAATTTTTTAGGCAGGTAAATCAGGTAAAATCGTTTTAATAGATATTTTCGGTCGGTAATTTGTACTTTTGAGAAAAAAATGGAAGTTTATCACTTTTTGTGTTCAAATGTCTTCAGTTTTTTTTTTTCTTGATGTTGTCATGTGGGTTTGACACTACATTTGACTTAATAGGTTGATGGAGCAACGATGTAACTTGGTAGTGGTGCAATTTTAGCATTTTCTACAAATAATCCACAATTCCATAGTTCAATTTGTCACCCAGCTACTCTTTTTTTCTTTAACAACATTATTCGTAGAAAAAATATAGTACACAACTTGGTAAAAAAGCTATATTGTACTGGTTGTACACCATACATTTTCTAGGAAGAATTTCTTAAACAAAAATAAAAAACTACTTTATGCGGATTGATTCATGATTTTTCGGTTATTAGTCGCAATCGCTGGTGTTAGTGTTATACCTCTTCTCTCTTCTACAGCACTACAGCCCAAATTGAGCCTTGACCTCCTTTATTTTTTGCTTCCACCCTTGCTTGTCCGTGGCTGATCTCCATATGCAGACTCCTAAAAGGGCTTGTGCGTCAGTGTTATCTGTGTCTTCCCAACGCTTTCTTGGCTTTCCAACAGATATGTTTCCCCGCATTCTAGTATTCAGTGCTCTTTTTGGTAGACTATCTTCCATTCTTATCACATGTCTGGCCCATTGCAGTCTTTGTATTCTAATGAAGTCTGACAGTGGTGCTTCCTTATAAAGTCGATAAAGCTCGTTGTATCGATTTCTGAAGATTCCGTTTTTCCTCACAGGTTCTAGTATTCTCCTCAGTGCTTTCCTTTCGAATGTGTCGAGTTTGCTTTTGGATGTTTCTTTCAGGACCCATAGCATGCTATTGTGCATTATACATGTCATCTTAATGTATAATGTTTTGTGGGACTATATTTCTTCTTGTCTGTATCATTATTTTTGTTTTTTAATTTCCAGGCCTAGCCTTTTTGTTTGCGTTTTTAACTCTGCATGTGTTTCCTGTGCTCCTGTTGAGTTTCTTGTGCACCTGTTGAGTTTTTTCTTCTCGATGTTGTCATGTGGGTTTAAATTTATGGTATTTGATGTAATAAGTTCATGGAGCAATGATGCAACGTGCTGTAGTGGTGCAATTTAGCGTTTTCGACAAATAATTCAAAATTCAATGATACAAATGTTATTAACATCAAATTGAGGAACAAATTTCTCTCAATTGTCTCCTAGTGAAAAATATTACTTTGACATAAAATATTACACGAAACTTTTTTATTTATTACTGAACAACTTGTATAGAACTATTTTTTTATGTTTTTATAATTTCTGATACAAATCTATGTATTAATTCGAGAGAAACTTTTGATAGCTTCGTTTTCTTAGTAGGTTTTGGTAGTGTTGAGGTTGGCATATCCTCTGTAGCTTTGTCGCTCGAAGGTAAACAGCTAATTCAAAGTATATTAAAGACTTAGACCGAAATTACAAAGATTTTATTGTCCCAGAATGTTGAATATAAATATTTTTTATTTATTTGAAGAAAATTTATGTTTGTGGTATATAAAACGAGCAGTCATTCCGTATCAAATCGGGTAAATATTCGTAAAATGGTTGGATTAATCGAAAAGTTGAGTTTGTCGAGCTCGAATATGTGTAATTTGAGGAGGAATGGCTGCGACTAAGAAAAAAAAGTTGCATAAGTTGCAGTAGCTTTTGAAGTATGGATGTTTGACTGTATCGATCAGCCGGAGTGAGAGTTATTAAAGATTTTTTAAAGAGTAAGCGGTGGGTGCTAGTGACTGAATAATAATCTTTTTGATTTTTATATTACGGATCTTGACATGACTGCATTGTGTCGTGTAAATATTTGTAGTATTAAGTATTTAACTCGTTCGTCGTTTAGCGTGGTGCTGATAGAAAAGCGCGCACGTCCATCTGTGATATTTTAGCGGTAGCAAAAGAATAAGATTAACTTTTCCGAATCGGGAGAAGCGCCCAGAAGATTTTAAAAATATATGTTGGCGTCTGATGCACTCTAAGCCACCTAGTGGCGTAGAATCTAAACGTCAGGGATGTTCTATACGTTGAATATTTGTCTCTGTTCTTGATTTAACGTCGAAAGGGGTGAAGATTCTTCTATAGCTCCGTTTGCTGCATGTTCAATGCCGTACACGATTACAAAAATAAAACAATGTATGTTTACATTGGACGGAATGTGATATTTTCTAATTAAGACTGAAATAACTATATTTTTTTTATACTGACCGACCGTGTTGTTGATTATTCGGTCAATATGGAATCCTCAAACCTAACCATTGTTTCGTAGGTGGTATAGTTTTGTTCGTTTAGAAAAACAAAAATACAAAATAGAAAAGAGCGATTCTCTAAAATCGGGAAATGCGTGCAGAAGTACTAAAAGGAAAAGATGCACAAACGAAAGTTATTTCATTATTCTACGATGTTATCAAAGTTGCGCCATTGCATAGTAACGATCGACGATTTTATATAAGATTTTTGATATTTTTTTAATTTTTTCAGTACCTAAATGAAATATATTCTGGAATGTAAAAATCTCGAAAAACGTACCTAGTAATTATTAGGTCCCGACCAGAACTGCTTTCAAATCGAATGTTATTTATCGAGATGTGCGAGTTTTGGTCATTAGTACATAGTATATAAATAAGTAGGACCACAGCAGATTGAATAAATACGTTTAAATTGTTCGTTTCACGTCAAATGACAAATATGTGTCGACAAGTCACAAACAATACCATAACAGTATCCATTTTGAATAACTTATAACTTTACCCTTTTATCCTTACCCCCCAGTCTTCTTATATAAGAGAATTTGCTCCTTATTAGATCTTTCTCTCGTTCTGTAAATTTTTCCTTAAGTTAACTTGTACAGTCTCTTTATTTTTGAAAAATTCCTTCCTGTGTGAAACCCACTCTCTCTTTCCTTGTCGCCCCTCTTTTCCAATATATCTTTTCTCTTCCACAACTTTTTCTACCAATATATCTCTCTTCCCCGCCTTTTACGCTATGTTGGA